GCTTTAATGGCCACAATTAATGATGGAATCGGATCCCACCAAAGAGACGCAACTTCGCTCTTAGATATTTATTGCCTAACAAACAAAAAATACCCATTTTTTGTGAAACAAAAAAACAATTGGGTGACGTGGGTCATCAGAACTTATTGAGATAAGGACATGCTTCATGGCTTATAAAAATATGAAAAAAAAAAAATAATCTTGTTTCTTAACTTCTTTTTTTTGAATTATCCATTGATTAGTTGTTAAATTTTGACTTACAATAATTTAATTCTTGTAATTTCTTACTCCTTCCGTTTCTATATATAAAATATTTTTAACCGAATTTCATATATTAATAAAAATTTATTATTTAGTTAAACTCATATAAAAACACAATGATTTTTCAATTTTATCCATAATAATATCATAATTAATATTATAATGGTGGTAGAAAAAACATATAATTAATGATTTATTTCATTTTCTAAGGAAAGGGTAAAATTGTCTAATTATTCAAAAATATCATCATCACTTCTTATATTCAGAGACAAAATAAACTTCTAAAAAATACCTTATATATAGAGATGGAAGGAGTAACTTGGAATAATTTAACCCTTACGGCTTTTTCTAAGTTGACGAAACATAGTTCTTTTATTCCTTAACTCATATTTAATCAAAATTCAGATATTAATTAAGTTGATAATTAAAAAAGTTTACGGACTAAAAGGTATATTTTTAAAAAATATTTACTCCCTCTATTAAAAAATATAAGATATTTTTTGAAAGGTTGAATGTTTAAAAATGTAAAGCATTTTTAGTTTTTCAAGGTGTAATCATTTTTTTTTCAAAATGCTCTTATTGATAATAACTTTATAATTATTATAGGATGTTTAATAGAGATAAATATGAAAAGATATAGTTAGTTTAAAAATAGATAGTTAATTTATTTAGGGATGAGATTCAATTACAAATACTTTACATTTTTAAACGGAGGGAGTATAAATTATCCCTCAATAACATCCTTACATTAGTAGTGAAATTCAAATGCAAGTTATTATTCATTAGTAACTAAACCAATTTTTGGTTACTTGTAGCTTTACTAGCTTTCACTTACTCACATAGGGATTACAGTTGGATAAGTTTGGTACTACATCTAAACTTCATAGGTGAGGATGTATGCATACATATATATATATATATATATATATACACACACATATATATAAGGTTTTTTTTTGGTGAACTATTTATAAGGTTATTTTTAAAAGATTATATAAAATAGCAAGAAAAGAAAAATAATGAAATGATATTAATTTCATCATCATCATGTTTGGTAGTTAAAATATTATAAATAATTGTCCTTTGCCAACTTAATGCATATAGAATTAGTAATAAATTGATAACAATATGATAAAATATAAATTTCAATCCATGAATTTTTCTTATTTATTGATTCAATACCTAAACTTTGAATTAGAACAACTTAGACCCAATTTTTTTTTATTCAGAACATTTTTAACCTTGGTACAACTCATTCTTTATAATTCCTTACCTCAATAAATTATAAAAATTGAGTTATACTGAATTAAAGTTTAAAAATTAAATTAATAATTAAAAGAAAATTTAGAAACTAAAAATTATATATCTATCCTAAAATTTTGCTGAGTTTTCTTATATTGGGTTTCAAAGAGGCCATCTTTCTAAATTGAGAAGCCCATACGCTCAAACAAGCCCATTTGCAAACATAAAAATGTAATCTATCTGCAATTACTTCTCCAAATTCCCAGGCCTGGCATTGCTTAACTCTATTAAAACTCAGTTTTTATATCCCAAAAAAAAAAATGGACCCCTAAAATAGATAGAAAAAGAATACATAGTGAGATTTTTTTTTTCAATGTCTCAAAATCTATCTAAATCACTCGTTTTAATGTAAATTTACGTTTATACATCCATGCGTTGTGTGTGTGTGTGTGTGTGTGTGTGTGTGTTGGGGGGGGGGTTGCAGTGATGTCTATAATTGACATGTAATTTTTTTTTTTTTTTACAATTTGGATCCCTTGTATTCACAAAAGAAATACATAGATGTATTTGATAATAAATGAAAAAAAATATATGGTGGGTATGAGGTGAAATTGAATGCTCATTCCCAGCCACAATATAAAATGTTTTTTAAAACTTCTATTTGATCCAAAAGATAGATATTGGAAAGGTCTTATATATTTTCAATCATACCCTTACTTTATTATATTCTACTCAAGTACTTCTCCGATCTTATTTATAAGTCATTTTTACCAATCTCATTAATATCGATACAACAAAAGTATAAGGAATAAAAGTAAATAAAATTTCAAACATAACTTTTAAATAAAAAGAAAAAAGTAAACAACTCATGTAATATTAGTTTTATGTCTCTCTCGCACTTTTTAATGGTAATTTGAAAATTTTAATTTAAAATAAAATAATTCCATCAGCTAATGACTTATAAAATTAACTATATTGTGCTTCTAGAAAGCACCTAATGTACAAGACCTGGCAAAGTAATTAATAAAATTGTTTTAAATAAATTAAATATTATATTTATTCTATTTAAAAATACAATTGAAAATATGAAATTTTTTTTAAAAAAATCAATATTTTAACTAAATTTTAAATGTATAAATTAGTTAATAATTATTTATATTGTGGTTTGAAGTGAGTAATTGATATCCCTTTTTGGCAAATGTGGTTTTATAAAACCTTGAATGGATTGCTTTTGTAAAGCCCATGATTTGGCTTTTGTTTTTTCCTCAAATCTCTAATCTATAATACTTCTGTGGCTGTATTTGTTTTTAACTTACTTATAACATATTCTACTAAAATTAATAAAAACCTTAAAGCTTATTAAAATTATTTAGGAATTTAATAAATTTTCAATATCATTATATTAAGTTTGCATACTTTAGTAATGTAATTTTTCTCACGACATTAATAAAAAATAAAACAAAAACTTTGTGATGACAAATTAATAACATGACTTATAAATATGATTTGAAAAATCCTTATCTCCACCTTGTAAATAGTATCTTAGGAGTGAGTTACTCCATCTAATCTCTATTATAAGACAAATTCTAGAAAAAAAATAGATAGACTTTATTATAAGACACATGACCCTTGTTTGAAGTCATTAACTATGAAATTTTATTTCATTTTCAAACAACGTTAATGAATGAATCTCCTCTCCTTAATTTCAATCATTATGAGGCCTTTTATAGTAATATTACCTCTATTTTAAATTATAAGATATTTTTGGAAGAGCTTCAACAAAAATAAAATTTCATTAATAATATTTAAAAAAATATAACTTTTAATCTTTGCACTTTCCTAGTGTTTTACTATAGATACTTGCATTTTTTTTCCAGTATTTTAAGTTTTTATACTTTTATTTTTAGTGTTCTTAAAAAAAAGTATAAGAACCCATAACAAAATACGAGTAAAGTATAGAGATAAAAAATTATGTTTTCTCATAATATTTTTTTCAATATTACCTTTGCCCTTGTATTCTTTCTTTAGTATTCTTTCACATATGAAGTGTTAAATAAAGGGTATTCTTATATGTTTATATTTTTTTCTTTTAAAAAAATTATAAAATGTATTTAATAATACATATTAGTATGTATAATGTTATTTGAAAATATTTTATAAATTGAGACAGAATAACGCGAGGAACTATATACCTTTGCAGGGCTCTATGAAGCCGTTTCAACTGGGGGAATCGTGGAGTTAGAAAGCAAGTCTCTCTCGAGTCATGATAGTGACTAAAATAAGTGGTGCTTGTAAGGTGAGATTGCTAAGAAATTGCTTGAGAGAGAATGAAATTGAACCTGCCTTGTAAACATGGCATCAAAACTAACCCACTCTGCGCCTCTTAATATAACCTAAATAATTAAACGGTCCATACAACTTGACTTGTTAAAACGGCACGCTTTGAAAGTGATACAGAATCTACCATTTCCCAAGAAAGAAAATGCCACAAACAAACACAAAATGTGACATTCTTTTAATAAAAAGGGATTAGGTACCTTTAATGCGGGGTTTTAATTGATTAAATTATTACTATGATGCACGCAAGCTAGTACAAATTGGACTAAAGTTATCTTTAATTACGGAAATTAGTGAGAAAAGTAACCACGTGCTCCACAGAATCATTCTCTCTCTGTTTTGTTGTGGCCAGGTACTATTGTTCCACATGGTTTAGCTCCAGCATCAAACAACGCGGTTTAAAAGTTATAGCGTTAGTGAGAGAGAGAGAGAGAGAGAGAGAGAGTTGTAAAAGAGAAGTAGTTTGGCACTGGGCAATATGGAGAGACTCCTCTCCTATACAATATAGAGGGGACGGATGAGTTAGGTCTGCACAAGATTAAGACATTATTGTTCAAAGAATACTTATTTACAAATCACCCATCAAAAAAATTCTCACATCATGAGATTTAATTAGTTGACTGTGATTCATTGGCCAATTTTTTCCTAACTAAACTAACCTATTTTTTTTTCTTGATAATTAAATTTAGATAATATTTACTACATATATTATTGATTTTTTTTACAAATTTACACTTTCAATGCTGATTTATTTGTTGACAAGAAAAATACATTATTAAAATGTATATATATTTAATAGAAACAAAATTAAAAACTTATTAATAAAGAAGATTAATGAATTCTAAGATTTTACTTAGATAACATAAGTTAAAAGTTATTCATAAATAAATTTGGAAGATGAAACTTAATTTCAGAGTGCGTTGATAACCACTGGCTTAAGTAAACATGTTATGTTACGTATACTTAACGTATGGCTTAAGTAGACAAAATATGGAAGCTTGAGTTTAGTTATTCAATTAAATTTATGCCAAATCAAATGATATTGAGATGAGATAAGGTGTAACATATTATAACATTGAAAGTTAAAGATAATAAATTGTGTATTGAGCACTAATTTAAAGAGAATTAGGGAGGCAATTATCGAAATAAGACAATAATGATAAACACATAATTAAAATATTTTATTTCTCCCCCATAAATCATATAATGAGTACAGACAAGAGAAGAGAAGGACTGAGAAAAGAAGACACACTTAAGAAGATTCAAAAGGAAAATGCTTAAAAAGACATGAGGGTATTACAAAAGGCTCCCTCAGTCACATGGAACAACTCATTCATCCCTTGAAGCACCTCGTTCCATTTGAACCATCAACACTACCAACACAGATTTAAACAGAGGGATTGCTCCTGAACGATCCAAGAGCCTTAGCTGCTCCTGCCCTTAAGATGAACTGGTGGTAGAATGCTGCAATGGCTGCCCCAATGAATGGTCCCACCCAGAAGATCCACTGTGCCAACATAAGCAACACAAGTTTAGATATAAAGTTGCAGTCTTTTTCTACTTTACATCACTGACATAGCAGTTTTTAAGGTAAAAAAAAGAATTATGGGAAATCACAAATACTCACATGATCATCCCAGGGTTTCTTTTGGTTGAAGATAACAGCAGCTCCAAGACTCCTGGCCGGGTTGATGCCGGTGCCAGTGACTGGGATGGTGGCCAAGTGAACCATGAACACAGCAAACCCAATGGGAAGTGGAGCCAAAACCTTCAAGACAGAATAAAGATTAATAAGTAACCAAGTTGATAAATTTTATTCACAAGGAAAGTTTGTAGCAGACAGTTAAAAGAGCAGGTGAAAAAACAATGAACAAGTGGGAGGGGTTCACAAGCAAGTGCGGGACATGTATACATGTGAGGCTCATGATTCCCACTTCTTTATTATTATATTATTTAGGAGAATCTGATAAAGTAATTGGAGGTGAATACAGAACACCAAGATGATATTGACAAAAATGAAGGTGATACTGGAAGTGGAAGGTTGGAGAAAATGACATAGGCTATATCACGGACAGAATTATGACCACTTTACTTTTGGACCTCAAAACACTTCAACTTTGCTTTCAAGGTATAAAGGAAAACAAAAGCATGAAAGATAATAACTAAAGTAGGATCCATTATGCTCATAACATGAAAAGACATTAGATAATCTTCTTTATTCATGTGCCAGCCATGATAGGATCCAAGCACCACCACAAACTCACATAAGCCGTTGGACCCATGTTTATCAAGCGCATGGTGCTATTAACTATCATGCTTCTGGTAATTTTTGTATAGGAAAGTGATAGCAGTACTACCCCAGGTGAATCAAATGCTCGTCCACAGACAAAATATGATCCCTCATGATCAAAGAAATTGAACTAGATAGAGAAACAAGCAACAAAGTGAATTTCAAAGGATTTTCAGCTATATCGCAATTCTACCAGTTTTTTTTTTTTCTTTTTTACAGGAGCAACCAATATATTCATCTTTCTGACTCTCTTTAGGTTCCATTATCAGAGAATTTTTATCAGTTGATGACTTTATAAAGAACATACACTATTTTCTCTTTTATGTCTCTGTTTCTACTAGATTCCACCCACCAGCAGTTACATATCTTGGAAACTATACATTTCTAATTCCGATCTATTCATAATCTCTGCAATAACTAGAAGCGGATCAATGTTACTATTAAAACGAATATACAAAGACAGAGACTTTAGGGCTTTCTGGATATCAGAATTCACAATCAGATCAAAGTTGTAAATTCCCAAAAGTTACATACTTCAAAGAGCATGTATCTAGTATTTATCATCTTAGCATATATTCTTTCTTCCCTTCAACCAATGTTTCATTCAGCACAACTTTTCGGGCCGTCATATCTTTTGTTGCACAGTACGTGGTTCAAACAGTATTCTTCAGCTAACTTCATATCATATCAATTAATGAAAAACCCACAAAAGCACAAAAAGAACTCATCTCAGCAATAGCAAGATAAAATACTTACAGGCACATGGGAGTCTCTAGCGTTCCTCTTGGGATCAGTTGCAGAGAACACAGTGTATACCAAAACAAAGGTTCCGATGATCTCAGCGCCTAAACCGGTGCCGGTACTGTAGCCGTCGTTCAGAGAATTGGCCCCACCACCGTACCTGGTGTAGTGAGCCTTTTGGAAGGCCTTCACTAACCCAACTCCACAGATGGCACCCAAGCACTGAGCCACCATGTACAAGATGGCTCTGATCAGTGACACCTTGCGAGCCAAGAAGAGCCCAAATGTCACTGCTGGGTTGATGTGACCTCCTGCAATTGAACCATAAATTTCAGAACTTGAAACTTTATTCACCATAATAAAACCTACATGGCTTAGTGGGTGTTCTCTTATGACTCAGAAAATAAGGCAGAAACAGAGGATCTTTATTTTGAAGCTCAAGAAAGACCTTTGAGGATGATCACCAAACCTTTTAAAAAGAAACCCAGAAAATTTTTTAGGATCCCAGTAAGGTATATTGGATAAAAGCAAACAGAGTTTTCAGAACTGAACTGTAAAACATGGTAGGAATACAAGGCCCCATATGAAGAGAAACCCAAAACAGTAAGCTTGAGAATAAGCCAAACTCTTGACCAACCTGAGATTCCAGCGGTGCAGTAAACAAGGATGAAGATCATGCCACCGAAGGCCCAAGCAATGCCGAGAATGCCAACGCCACCACAGACATCGCCGTTGGCTTTGGTATCGGACTGGAACTTGTAGCCAATCACAGTAAGAACGGTAATGTAAAGGAAAAGCAAAGTGGCTATGAATTCAGCGATCAAAGCCCTGTAAAAGGACCACTTGCCGAGCTCCTCCGCGTCAATTAGCGGTGCTGGAGGAGGGTCATGGTAGTCCTTGGTGGAGTAAGACCCACGCTCTGCAACCTCAACGTCCTTAGCCATAATAAGACTTGAGAAGCTCAAACCCCAAAGGAATCACGAAGAAAGTTTGGAAATTTAGAGAGAAAGAGAGGGGAAAGCTAGAGAGTTTGAGAGTGAACGTAGAGAATGGGTTGCAGAAATAAGAGAGGATGAAGGGGTATATATGGTGGAACTGAGGCTTGTGTCTGTCTTGCTTGTCTCGTGATTACAGTGTTAGAAAGAGGAGAAAAATTATTTAGCGATTTTGAAATTTAGTGGAAAATGGAAGTGATCAACCAACGGCGTTGGTTTCGCTTTCCCAATCACCGACCTCCACCTTCACCTGTGGACATAGTACCACCTCCCACACCCTTCTTTTCATCTTTTTGCGTTTTCTAAGGAGTTACTACACAATTTCATCCCAATTTATGAGTTTTTTTTATTAAATCATACATACTAATAAAATTACTAAATATAAATTTTAATCTTAACTTTTTAATAAATTTTTAAAACTATTCTTCATTAATAAAAGAGAAAAATTTTTATTAAAGGAATGAAATAATGAGTAATAATATTATAATAATATCATTAATATTTTTTTTAAATGTCTTATATTTTAAAATATCAAATCAATTTTAAAAATGTTTTATAAAATACCCCTGATAACATGGAGAGCATTAAATAATTTATATTTTAACATAATATAACTGTATTTAATTTTTTTGACCACATAACTGTATTTAATTGAAGTACCCTTATATTAAATACCCAATACTCACTTTCATTGATGAAGGATAAATAGTTCGAAAATAATTAAGATCTTTCGGAAATTTTAATGTGACAAATATTTTAAAATAGAGAGAGTAGCAACTTTATAACATGTTTCGGCAGATTTGATCAAAATATACTTTTTCTTTGGATTACATCAAAATTGACAAATGAATTAGTATTTTTTTTTCAAATACTTTTTTTGAATTAAGAATGTTATGACTTGCTATATGTTTTCACACACACACATAACTAATTGTATTAATGTATTGGTTGTAATGTATAAAAATAATTATAATTTACAAGATTTTGAAATTAATTTTTAGACATGTGGGCCTTTTGACGTAATTTCTCCTATTTTATCCCCCTTCTCGTGTTAATGTTTTCTGACCATAGCTCTAACATTACCGTTAGATGGTTGGTGAATAGTAATAATAATAATATAATGAAAAAAAGGTTGTAGTTGGAAAGATAGGTTGAACTCCATTCTTCTTCCAACTTCTACGACTTTTGAGAATTGGTTTAACTTACAAGATTCCAAATTTCAATTAATGCAATTGGTGGAATATTTCTTACTTCCTCGTTAAACCAAATTAGAATATTGAGACCACACTTGTATAATTCAAAATAATATTATTCACCTCTTTTAAAAAGATATAAAAAAAATCCATTTCTTTTTTTTTTCCTAGAATAAGAAACCAATGGTCCATGTTTTTGTAAAATAAGTAACAATAAAATTGTCGCTTTTGCTTCTCAATTTGTTCAAAGGGGAGGGAAGGGCTTGGATTAAAAGAAACAAATTGTACACCTCATTTATTTTTGACATGATTTTACCGTCACCATTGGACTTTGACCTGTCAGCTAACCACAATTTACACGCTTTATATATATATATATATATATATATTCCATAATTTCGATGTACACGCATCACACACACACACACACACCACAAGCTTTTTGAATAACTGATGTACTACCTTCGATTTATAAATTATTAAAGTGGTTAACTTTATAAATTATTAAATTAATAATAATATTTTATTTTAAATAAAATATTTAAATTACTCTTAAAAAGTAAGAGAGAGAAAAAAAATACTATATAATTTATTTACTTTTTTAAATTTATATTTATAATTTTATTAAATTTTATTTTTTATATTTTTGTTGTATTAATATTAATAAAGTTGATAGAGATAATTTATAAATAGAATTAAAAAATCACGATTTCAGAAGAAACATGAACAAAAGTGAAAACGTGGCAAGCATACATTAAAAGAGACGAAAAACTACTTTGAATTACTCATTCAGATATATGCGAATATTTTTCTGTCGTGTGATGGTGATTTGCAAGATAGCATTGTTACATTGAGAATCAAGTTCTACAACATTCACACAAACTATAATTCAAAGGATTAAAATATGTAAGTATTTTTAAGGTAGTGTTTACTTAATTGGGTTTTAAATTAGTAATTAATGCATGCTTTATTAAAAAAATTAAAATTTATAGCAATCACTATATATAATTAGCATGCGACTGTACATTCGATCAAGAAACGAAGTACGTTAACACGTGACTGATGCGTCCAAGTTCAATCGACTCAAGTCATTTAAAATTACAAATACACGCACATTAAATGAACCTACACCGTAGTATTTCCAAAATGTGAATATGCAGATCGATCCAAACCACACATCAAGCAATTGGATAAATACCCTTCTGGATAACATGTATACATATCAGGACGATGAACTTTAGCCTCGAAATTCGAGAAACTAATGTGTGTATGTGCGTGTCTAGGTGTTTCAAGGATTACGTATGTATGGGTTCTTGTATCAAAACCAGCGTGTGCCATGCTGCCTTTAAAACAAATTTGCATTTAAACATTGCCTTAGACTTGTGTTATTTGGTCCCTACAAATTTATTTGGTCCCAATAGAGCATGACCAAATGCTTATTGATTTGTTGATTCCACTGATAAGAAAGTTATATTAGTTTATCAAGGATATCAAATTTGAATTCTAAAAATACAGTAGTCTTGATGGTAGAGTTTCTATTCAAAATGACGAAACTAACACTCGATGGGCGCAAGTCCACGATGCCAGATGTTCTGTGAAATAAATTAGAGTAGGACCAAGCGGAGATGAAATTCAAAGTTTTGACAAAGTGACTATTCACAAGACTGACACTCTTCATAGTCGCACCAGGAAATTGTAACGTTATGTGAGACATTTATTGGCCTTTGATTAGACCTGGTCTCTCCTGAATTACACAGGGACGTAATATAATAATTAACTTATGATGATATACAGATCACAAATGTAATGGATGGCTCATTAATTAATTAGTATTTTAAATAATCATAACATCATAATAATATAAAAAATATTAATTTTGAGGATAATCAGGTTTTTTTATTGGTCACAAACAGAGCAGGGGAGAAACTTACGAATCTTTTTGGTCAAAAGTCATTTGAGGGTTCCTTCCCTAAATACAAACGTGCGGCACGCGGTTAATGCAATTTCACTTGTGCTTCTTTCACTGCTGGAGGTCGCACGCCGTACATACGTGTCTGCATGTGATTGGCTCATGAGGATAGCTCCAATCTTTGGTGAGAAGCGGACCCATTAGATGATCGACACGTGGGGAGTGCTCAGCCACGAAGTTTTTTTGGACGCTTTTGTTTCGGGAAACACGAAAAGTTGTGGCCGGAAATGGCTTGGCGGTCCGACCATGTGGGTCCCATTGCCATATGGGATCCGCCGCTGCACAGTCGCGCTTATCCCATTGGTCCATAACGGTACAAAATGATGATCTGGCCCTCAAAACGCAAACATAAATTATTACTCAATAAAGAGAAGATTAATTATTTAATCTCACTAGTTTTGAGTTGATTAAAATTTACTTTTTAAATTTTGATTAAATAAAATTTAATTTATATAATTTTATTTATTTAAAATATTAATCATTATATTATTAAAAAATTAGAAAAAATTTAAATTATTCTTATTTTAAATGACTAAATTTGTAAGAACTAAAATACAAAGTTGCACAAAGTTAACATTTAATGACTGAATTACAGATAAATCAAATTATAAAAATTAAGTTGTGTCTAGTTCAAGTTGAAGGAATTACATTTGAGGCAAAAGCATGGCATTAAATGATTAATTTTCTTCTATCTTTTTACGCAATATATACTTAGAAAATATAATAAATTAAATAATATAATAATAAAAATACATTATTATAATAAACATACATGTTAACTTTTTTAATTCACAAAATTTCATTTTAAATTTTTAAAAAATAATAATTATTGGAAGGTTGAACTAGATGGATGAGTAGTGCCGACTAAGCAATGTTTGTTTTTCCTGGTTTCTTTTTTCCAAATTATGGACAAAAAGTCGACTTCTTTAAAGGAAATAAAGAGAGAAGACAACAGCGGCCATGGAGATTATGATCACGAACTCCTTTAGTTGTGGGTGGATGAAATAATGAAATATTCATATGATTACATCTGCAATGATAACTACTTCCGTCAACATTATCATCACACAAGCACTTTTATATATCCAAATACACATGCATCCACCAATTATTTTAACCATATAAATTCTAAAAAATCATTTAGAATTGCAATCCTTTCTTTTTTGACCCCAATAAATCAAATATTGATATTAAAATCCACATGCAATATTCATTGATATATATATATATATATATATTATGAATAGATCCCCCACTATATCTACGCTAAGGGTAATAAATTTATTAGTCTTTTCTACTTTTATCTTGCACTTGACTTCCCATGATATAATATATATATTCATTTTGATCAGAAGCTAGGCCAATTGCCTAAATTTATATGAACATTCAAGAAACATAATATGTGAAATTAAACTGAATTAGTGATAAGAGAGACATTACGAGAAATGGTCTAGGTCACTTGCAGTGCTCAAATATAAAATATGTACTGTTGCTATTTGAAATGAAAATTTCGATAATAGAGACAAAAACATTTCATATATATACTACAATATAAAGACTCACATCAACTTATATGTTTTTTTCCCCCTTTCCACAGAGCACTTCATATCCACAGTGTGCATGCCTCACATCAAGTTAAAGAAAACTTAACGAGGTCCATACTAATTTGGATAGATCAAGAACCTTCGGGATTCTAACTTTGCCATTAAGGTTGCTAGCATCTCTAGAACTCGGGTTTCAAATCTCTAATTAAGTATATAACAATCCTATTAATTGAAGTAAGTGTTGAGTGGTAGATAAACCTATTAGTTAAATAGTCTCTAATTGTGAGCTTTACCCACCACCATATTATTAGTGACAGAATTGAAAAATTATTATCATTTAATGAGATTTTAAATAAATAAC